AAAGCGAAAAGAGTAATTTTTTTTAAAATAAAATATAAAATAAAATTTCTAGTCTTAAATATTTGTTTTAAAATTTAAATATTCGCTAAAATTTAAAAAAAAAAAAATTTAAGGAATAAAGAAAATTTTTCAAGCAAATGAATTTTTAATAGAGAAGAATTTAATAAATAATATCGTCGATTCAAAAACAAAGTAATATATGGGATTACCGGAAAATTGTTTGAAAGAAATTTCGTCGACGGAAAATGGATAGACTGAAGTTTGGTCGAACGGAAGTTAGATCGATTTTTTTTTTAGTTGACACGATCACATTTTACGTCAAATTTCTTTTTGAACGCACTATACTATATAGTAAAAAAAAAAATGCGTTCAGTATCAAATTAGGCGCAAAAAAAACACAAAAAAACAACAAAAAAAACAATTCGATTAAATTTCCGTTCGATCAAACTTCCGTTGATCAATTTTCCGTCTACGAAATTTCATTCAAACAAATTTCCGGATACGAAAACGTGGTCGTGCAGTTGGAAGAGAAAAAAAACGCATTTTCCTTGCCAGCGCCAAGCACGTGTGGTAAATAGTTGGAGTCAGGGCATCATTACAATTATGATAACCGTAGCTTTACGCGACCAACATCAACACCAAGAATTCAAGATTTACATTTGCGTACGGGATGTAACCTTGGTTACATGTAAACATTATTGGGAGCAGCTTTAGCCGGGCGCATTTTGATCATTAAGTTAATCATAAAAAAAAGGTGTGCTTTAGAGAAAAAGTGGGGGTGTTGGGGTGGTGGTGGTGGGGAGGGGTTGACAGTTGATTAACTGTCTAAGGCAGTGGTTCTCAACCTTTCTAATGCCGCGACCCTTTAACACAGCTCCTATTGTTGTGGCGACCCCTAAGCCACAAAATAATTTTCGTTGCGACTTCATAACTGTAGAGCAAATGTGTTTTCAGATGTCTGAGGCGACCCCTGGGAAAGGGTCGCGCGACCCCCAAAGGGGTCGCGACACACAGGTTGAGAACCGCTGGTCTAAGGGATGGAGATAACAGTGGAGTAATTGATTACTGAGCGGGGGATGATAGTGGAGTAACTGGGTAGGTGATGGAGATTACAGTGGAGTAACTGATTAAGGGGTGGGGGAGGATAATGGAGTAACTGACTAAGGGACGGAGATGACAATGGAGTAACTGGGTAAGTGCTGGAGATTACAGTGGAGTAACTGATTAAGGAGTGGGGGATAATAGTGGAGTAACTGACTAAGGGACGCAGATGACAATGGAGTAACTGGGTAAGTGATGGAGATTACAGTGGGGTAACTGACTAAGGAGTGGGGGAGGATTGTGGAGTAACTGACGAAGGGGCGGAGATGGCAGTACAGTAACTGACTATGTTTCTTTTCTTAGGGCTGATAACTGTGAAGTACAGTAGCTTGAGAATGTTTGGGGCAACTTAGGGTTAGAGTGTGTGAGAGCTCGAGATCAACTGAAGTGTTGTGGTAGGCAGTAAATAGAGCGGAAGAGTCAAGTAGGAAAGAGGACCGTAATGAAAGGGTTATTGAGCAGTGACGTAGCCTGAGGCCCAAAATAGAGTGGGGGGGTGGGGCTTGTAGCTTCAGACGTAAAGATTTCTAGGTCGTAAAATGTCAACAAACACCATCTTTGGATTACACCCGCAATGGCATACTCATAGTATGTGCCCGGCCCCAGGCCCAAGTCTAGTTGCCTTTTTGAGGGCACTGGAAACCCACGCAACGCTACTGGCGTGGAGAAGGGGGTTAAGGATGTACGCAGGTTACAGACATATGCTTCAGATATAAAACTTTGGACTAAACCTATGTGACCGTAAAACATGGGATGAAGGGGCAGCTGCCCCGTGAGTCTTGATCTGGGAGAGCTAAAATCGTCATGTATGCTTATATGTATATATATATATATATATATATATTATATATATATATATATATATATATA